TTTTTAATAGACGACGGCATATCGTTTACGTATAACAGAAAGAGGATAGGACCTAAGATCGAGCCTTCTTCGAACCGATCATTCTTATGATAGGAAATAGATTTAAGCAAAGTAATATATTTAAAGTAGAAAAAAAATATATTTCTTAAGAAATAATATATTTCTTAAGAAATAATATATTTCTTAAGAAATAATGTATTTGCTTGAAAACACGTAGCGTGTTGTTGCTCATAAAAATTTCTCCAATTTTATAAAAATGTTTTCTTTGTAGCAAACAAGTGTAGTTAAAACTATTAGGTAGAAAAGTTGTTTGAAATTTAGGTAAGTAATTCCAAACAAAAGGAAGGCACTGCTGATCCGGTGGCAGAGATCGCTTCGGCAGTAGTGCCGTTGCGATCCCGGACCGATGGATCGCGGGTTCGAGTCCCGACTCGGGCATGGTTGTATTGTGTTCGTCCTTTCTCTTCCCATCATCATCATCATCATCATCATCATAATTATCATCATATCAGGTCATCCTCTCAGTTACAAGTAACAGTGGTCGCTGATGACCTAGAAGTTGATGCGACCTTAAATAACAACAAAAATACACTGCAAACTTTTTTATGTTTTAATATTGCATGAGAATAGATTCGCGCAAGTGTTAACTCTATTACATTGCAGTACATTGAACATTTTAGTTTTATGGAATACTTCAAATTCAAAACATTTTCAGCAAAATCTTTAAAATTAATAATAAAACTCTGAACTGAAGCTATCAATTTTCATGTTAATGAGCAGGTTTCTGTTTTATTTCATTCCTTTGCACTTATATTTTGTTTCGCTTTTTAAAACACGATATCGGATTAAAATAACATTGGTGAAATCTAATTTGACGTTTCACTGCAGCTGTACTAATGAATCGTGGAAGTAGAGAATTGTAACTTTGCCATTCTTCATTGGAGGTTTGACCTTCAGGGGATGGATACTGTGATTGTTCCTGTAGACGATATGGCTTTCTGTTGAAATCCAGATGTGTATCTTCGTTCACGTATTCCAATGTACGGTCTGCAGCGTTTCCCTGAAACATACATTTCCCTGAGATATTTACAATTTGTGTAGCATACACACAATGATTCATATTCTTCAGACTTTTGGAAGATAAATATTTGAAATTTTGATACTGGATTTGTTCTAATTGATTGCTATTTCCTTACAAAAGTATCAAAATGCCAGTGGCCAAAATCAAACTGAGCTGTGCTATGCCACTTTTCAAAATTACCCAAGAAAAAAATTGGATTGTTCAAGTGAGTCTATCCCAAAGAAATGTTTAAATTGTTAAAACTGTAATAGAAACCTCGAAGATCACCTATTTAAAGAAAGAGAATTTCTATGAAAATACTCTCATAACAATAAACATGTCGGCAGAGGCATTGAAGGTAGTGACAAAGTGTCTCATATTATTCATACACTGAGGCATAGTTAGTAAGGGTAAAGGGGATGAACCTCCCTGGGGGACAAAATATGAATATTTGTGTTTAAAATTATATGATTTGAATGTTTTAATTAAAGAACAAATGGTATTGCAAGAAAAGGCTGTGTGATCCGAATTGTTTTTGTTACAAATGTGAATGTTAGTATATTTTTAAAAGGAGGAAAGAAACATTACTGCAAATCGTATACGGAGTATATACAATATATATAATATAGAGAAAGTTATACGTACTATATAATGCTACGGAAAATCGATTTCGAGATTTCAACGGAAATATACGTTTTGGAGTTCCCTGATGCCGAAAAATTATTCTTTTTTCTAAACGTCCGCCCGTCCGTCCGTTCGTCCATCTGTCTGTCCGTCTGCCGCCTGTGAACACTAGCGCCTAAATTATGCCTAGGATATTTTCCAAACTGAATAAACCCCTGTCGATCTGGCCTCACTCAAAGCTCATCGATTTTGAAGAAAGAACATTAATTTTGGGGGGTATTTTACATGAAGCCCCTGCGACATTTTTGATATTTTCTCAAAAATGGTTCTAAGTTTATTCCTTAAATTTATTGTAAGAATAGAGTGAAATGCACTTATAAAGGTCGCATAGGTCTGA